TGGAATTTGAAATGAAAATAGTGTGGCAAGGCTTCCCTAAGTGGCTCAGTTGGCAAAGACTCTGCCTGCAATGCAGGAGACCAGGGTTTGATCCCTGGGTCGGGAAGATCCCCTGGAGAAGGAAACGGCAACCCACTCCAGTATTCTTGCCTGGAGAAGTCCATGAACAGAGGAGCGTGGCAGGTTACAGCTCGTGGGATCACAGAGAGTCGGACATGACTGCAACTAACTTTCACTTTTTTTCACTTTCTAAGAACGGAAGAGCATGGTCCCCCCAATCAGAAATAAAATATCAATTTGGTAGTTAAAGACGGAGAAAAAGGAACGACGAAACAGAATGCTTGGAATTTGAAACGAAAATAGCAAGGCGAGACTATCACCGTCTTAGGGCTTTACTGAAAATTCAGCTCTTTCTGTAGGAAATACATGTTTAAAGACAATAAAAAAACAATGCTCTTTCCACATTCTTTTATTTTTAAGAAATTGTGTATTTATTGTTTTTGGCCATGCTGTGTCTTTGTTGCTGTGAGGGCTTTCCCCGAGCTGGGGAGAGCAGGGGTGCTCAGGTTGCGGTGCTCAGGTTTCCTACTGTGGAGACGTCTCCAGTTGCAGAGCGTGGGCTCTAGGGCGCGTGGGCTCAGTAGCTGCGACACAGAGGCTTAGCTGCTCCGAGGCATGTGGAATCTTCCCAAGTCAGGGACCGAATCCGAGTCTCCTGCATTAGCAGGTAGGCTCCCTACCACTGAGCCACCAGAGAAGCCCCTCCACATCCTCTCACACTGATTCCTTCTTGTCCCCCTATGCTTAGCCAAGCACTCACTACTGTCACTTGCTTTTGCACCTGTCAGCCAGGCTGCCAGTCCTGAAGGAGGGAGTACCTCCACGCGTCTCCCTGCAGGCCCGGCACTGCTCCTCATTCTCGGATGCAGGCAACGATGGGGCTCATTTTCACTCCCTCACTCGGAAACCTTCAGTGACTCTTCACTGTCCCTAAAAGTAGTCCACAGGCTTTTTTAAATTGCATGTGCCTATCAGCAGACTAATGTTTGCACATCCTCTGATACACACACACGTCATTTATTTTTAAATTATTTATACACTATTATACTTCTATTTTATACAAATCATAAACATCTACCAAAATAGAGAACTTAAGAGGATGACATTTAACAAGTATAATTAGAATTTGTAATATTTCCTTTCTGTACCTTTTATATACTCCACTCTGGAGACCACTGTTCTGTAGGATAAAATCCAGGTTTTTTTTTAAAACCATAATCTTCAGGGACTTCCCCGGTGGTCCAGTGGTTAAGAGCCTACGCTCCCAGAGCAGGACGCCCAGCTTCCATCTATTGCTGGTAAGGGAATTAAGGGCCCACCCACATGCTGCAATATCGGGCATGCTTCAAGGAAGATCCCACGTGCTGCAACTAAGACCCATCATAGCCAAATAAATAATTAAAACAACAACAATGAAAACAGAAACACAGCCTTCAAGCTGGGATCTAGGTACCCTTAGGGTACACAGCATAGATAGTATAAGAGGCTCCATTTCCAGATTCTGAGCTACCGAACATGTCCTCTCCTGGAAGTGATCTGTCAGGCACAGCTGACATGGAGCTGCCTTCTCTTTCCCAGCCTCCTCTTTCCAACTGTTCTTACCCTTCATAAGGGAAAGGCACTCCTCAGCCACCCTGAACTCTGATTTGTTACCAAAGGAAGGGATGATTTGAGAATGTACTAATGCCCGAGGCAGAGTCTCTTGAGATCCAAGTAAGAAATGCCAAAAAGGGCAGTGCCTTATTTCATCCCCTGAACAGATTCCCAGCAACCCTCTGTGCCCTGGACAGTGACTGTCTTATAATAAGAAGTCATAAGTGAGGTGCTGGAAGACCTTAAAGTAATATAGTGTTCTTAATTTAAAAGCAGAGCTAGGGGCATCCCAGGTGGCTCAGTGGTAAAGAATCTATTCGCCAACGCAGGAGACACTGGTTCAATCCCTGATCCAGGCAGATCCCATATGCCAAACAGCAACTAAGCCCGTGACCACAGCTCCTGAGCCTGTGCTCCAGAGCCCAGGAGCCCAACTACTGAGCCCATGTGCTGCAAATATTGAAGCCCATACACCCTAGAGCCTGTGCTCAGCAACAAGAGAAGCCACCGCAATGAGAAGCCAGAGCTCCGCAACCAGAGAGTAGCCTCTGCTCGCCACAACTAGAGAAAGCCCTCATGGCAGCAAAGACCCAACACAGCCAAAAATAAACAATTACCAAAAAAATTCTTTTACATGGAGGCTAACTTTTCCTAATAGAAAATAAGCCTACTTAACTGCCTAGTTTGTTCATGTAGACCGGTTTTGCCAACATAGTGGTATTTTTCATAAGGGAAATGGGCTAGTTCTGTGACTCCACCTTGTTAATGAAAATACATGTACGGTACTTATCTGACAGACTATACACCAGAAATGTCATCATTCGCACCTATTTCAACTTCTGATGACCACTGCCTTAAACAAACCTTCACAATATTTGTAACCACCTCAGACTCCTTCCCACCTAATCTCCTCTTAGCCTTTGCCTTTAATTGAAAAATGGAGCTAGGGGCTTCAGGCTTTGGCCAAACCACACTCAGGCTGCAGGCCATTCTTCCACGTCTATACCTCTGTGTGTTCACGTTAGTCCCTCCATCAGAAACACCCTTCCTTGTCATCACTGTATGCTGAATTCCTATCTAATTATCTGCTTGATCTGAAGTACTAATTAGGCCCTGAGAATGCAAAATAAACATAATAATAGCCTTAACCCTGTCTTGACAGGATTGAAGAGTCTTTTATGGGAAACAGATAAGCAATGACATATGCTGTGACAGGGCATGGGGAACCACAAGCTAAAGGGCACTCAGCAGGGGCACCCTCCCTTCACCTGGGGAAGTCAAGGAAATCTTGGAGGAAGTAGCCAGAAGGACAAGACCCACTGATGAGCAGGAGTTGGCCTGACATTTTGCAGGGAGGGAGGAGAAGACGACTGTGGTGCTGAGAGAACAGCAGTGCGTTGAACTGACATTGTTAAGGCAAGTCCTCTGTGAAGTCAGGATTTTCATCACGAGAGACACACTTACCTAACCCTAAGGTCCAGATAGAAACTTCTACTAAACTCAATCTGTTTCATGTTTTTGAAAGAAGGATCACATTTCTCTCAAAAGCCCAATTTAGAACAGGCTGAAAGTCAAGGGAGAGGTCATCTCTAGAAAAAATTTCCCTTGTGTGTATGTGTGTGTGTGTGTGTTTCCTTCCAAACACAAAATATTTGAATCCCAAGTTCAACTGCTGGGGGAATGGGTAGACTTTTTATATTGGGTTCACCAGAAATAGTGTCCAATGAATACTCTTGAGACATCTGTGAGGAAGGCCAGGGTAGTTTGTATATGTGGCTCTGTTCTGAGGGTGTAGACACCCTCTAAACAAACAAGTTAATGAAAGAAGAAACACCATAGAAGAGAAAAATTCAGTTTCTAGGGACTGCTTTGTGCCACGCAAAAGGGAGAGATCATGAGGGCTGTCTGGGTCTCCGTGTTCCACCTCTGCTCCCCTCCTGCACTGTTCCAAGCCACAGACCGTAAAAGTACCTTCACCACGAGATGCTCAATTCCACGGCATGTCACCACTCACTCTACTGATGTGTTATAAGTCGTTTATTTCTATGAAAGACTCTCCTCAACAAATACCGTAGTAGAAGCGAGGTCTAACAGATGCGGCATCAGCCATTAAATAATTCCTTTACTGGTGACAATCTGACACCCAATAACTCTTTGCTCATTCAAAATATAAAATATACTGACTCTTCTCTGATACAGTCCTTTCTTACATCATCACAGTGGACTGTCATTTTATTTCTCATCCTGATTTCCTAGTTTATTTTCTTCCAGCATCCATTTGGAGGGTTAACATTTTCTCTGTGACACTATTCACTATGGCAGTAGAATCAGGTAGGTCTCATACATGAGGGCTTAGATATACAAAGCACCAAAGGATGTCCCTTCAAAACACTGACTGTATACGAAAGTGACATGACATGGACCCAAAGAACTACATCACCAGATAGGTTCCAACAGGTTTATATTGTTGGTAAAGCTACTTCATCTTTTTCAGGAAACCCTTTATGAGCTCATCCCAGAAAACACTTGATCTTAGCCAAAAGGCCGAGAAGCAATCATCCCAGAAAACAAAAAACTCATTTTTGTTAGAATGTTATTATCAAGCTCTGGAGGGTGAGGACTATGTTTGATAACATTTTCCTATTACAAATGTTTCCTATCAGTGACACTGTATTTTTCCAGATGGGTGGGCCAATTGTATTTCTACTCTAAATCTTGTTTTCTTCCAGTTCCCCAGGAGTTTTCTGATTGTGGCCTTTAACAAAGTTCGCAGCAATGGTAAATTGAGGTTTGTTTTGGAGTATGTATATAAATGTGTTTGCAAATAGGTTTAGATCCTGGTGTGGAAAGAGCCTGCAGTCTCCTAAATAGAAAAATCATCAAGTAAATCAGAACTGACTTAAAGAGTTTGGAAAATGGTAGTGGGTCTTAGTGACCTTGTATCAAACCATGGCCAAGGCCACATTCTAACACATCCCCACTCCCAGATTAATTTAATTTCTGTCACCCTCTTCATCTTTTAAAATTCCTTCCATTCAGCAAAATCAGTTCCATTCAACAGAACAAATACATTGTGACTTCTGCACCTTATAACTCCTTATGTGCACTGATGGAAAATACGGTTTTAATTTCCAGCGTTGCACCTGAGAACATGCCAGGGCTGGGGGCTGGGTAATGAAATGAATTAAGCCTCCTCTTCCTCTGAAGCCCCAGGTTTTCCTAACACCCATATACCATATGCCAGTTCATTTAGGCCGGAGGGCTCCTCAAAACTGAGGCCATTTTCTTGCAGGGTCAATTTGGTCTCTTTTTAGACAAGCGGACTGCATTTGAATGTTACCTTGGTGTCAGAGCCTTCTCTGGGCAAAGGGCGGGACGTTCACCTGCAACCTGTCTCCTCCTTCCCCGGCAAGCTCCTTGCAGCGTCGCGGCGCTTCCAGCAGATGGCGCCGCAGCTGAATTTTCGCGACCCGCTCTCTAAACCAGCAGAAGCGTCTGGAATAAACAGGAAGGGGAATTTGTTTTTTAAAGCATTCTGAGTTTCAACATATACTGCCTTCTTTGTTGAGTCAGAAGCTTTTTTAATTTGACTTAAATTGAAGTGCATTTAAGATGTTAAAAAAAAATCAGCGATGACGCAATCCCAAATACGGGGTGGTGGGGGGCTTGTTTTGTTTTCTTAAGAATTTCCACTTTCACAAATGATTCAGGAAGGAAGTTTTCAAGTAGCATAAACTGTCTCAAGAACACAGTGGTTCAGAAACGCTAGCAGGGTGTGCTAGGTGAAGAAAGACAGCCTCAAAAAGACCAACAAGGCGTGGCAGGGCAGAGCCTCGCTGGGCCGCAGCGGAAGTGACCTTTGAGGGGGCGGGGCGGTGGCCGTGGAAAACAGCGCCGCCTGCTGGTCGAAAGAGAAAAGGCTCGGATCTTGCCAGAGGCTGCGGCGTGGCTCCCTGGACAGTTACTCCCCACAGACATTTACAGTCAAGATGCTGCACGTTATGCCCCTTCCCCAACAAAATTGAAAGTAATGGGCACAACCAGATAAGTCTTTCTGTAGAGAAGAAATCTTAGAGGCCCGTTGTGGTTTGGGAATACAGTGTTTCAAAGACCTTCACTGTTGTTAACACTCCCTAAAGCTAAAAATGGTGGATTTGATTATTATGGTATAATTGTTATTTAAAACAATCCATAAAGGAGACTGAAAAATAGAACCCTATGGGGCAGTCTTTCATTTATCCCATCCTGCTTTATTTACAAAATAATAAAAGTGGTGATCAGAAGCAAATTGGAAAAAAACGGGCAGAAGGTGGAATTTCAAGGTGATTGTGCTTATCATTTCTTATTATGGCCCCTCATTTTTATTCCAGGGTTGTTGCAGTTTCATTTCTGGAGTCCCTCCTCCTCTCCCCACTTCCTTTTTCCCTTCACTCATTTGACAGGAGCCTCCGCAGTCATCGGCCTAGAATACGTCATCGTCATCCACTGGGAGAGAAGTGTGGTACCACCTTTCTCCCCCTATGGCTGAAGCCCGCGGAAAGAAAATGAATGTTGCGTTTCTGCTCCTGACCCAGCACGATTGTTGGGAACTGTTAACCTGCAAGATGATGCCAAAGCGCAGCCTCCCTCCTTTTATGCTGTATAGAGTTTTAGGTTGCCCTTCATTAAGCTGATGCTTTCCCCTACAGAGCCCTGTCCTTCACATTGCCCAAATGATGTGCTAATAACCTTCTCCTCTCTTCTACTTGCAGAGATTCAGTGCATTAAGCCTAAGAGTTGTACACACACACCCCGCCCCCCACCCTTCGTCTTCTTTTAAGGGAGTGAAGACCCATAGGTGGACAGTTTCATTTAATTAGTCATGCAGTGTATCAGGTCGCTGTTCTCTTGACATGAAAATTTCCATCTCCCATCAAGGCATAGCTGTAGGCATTTATTATAGGCTCTGGTTCAAAGCAGGCCCTCTGTTTTGAGCAGGAGCACCAGAAATTAGGAACCTGACTGGAAGAGAAGCTTCGTGAGGTCCAGAAGGAAAGTTGGGCCCCCAAGTCCTGTTTATGAGTGCTGTAGCCTTCACAATCTGGATCCGACAAAATGAACACTGAGAGCAGTGTCTGGCGTACAAAGAAGAATAATGGATGTGTAGTAACTTGACTGAGTCGGGGACAGGATCCAAGACATGCCTGACATTTGTTTATCAGCAGAGAAACAAAGTAAAGGAGGAGATGTCTCCCTCAGTCTTACAAAAGTGTCCTTCGGGGAGACGATACAGGAACAGGGCGCTGATAACATTAATACTGTGCAGGCAAGCACACGCCTCCCCACATCCCCAGGACTGCTGAACCCAGTGTTATTAAACTAATCGGCAGGGACACAGCTCTGAGCCTCTCCTGCCACAGTCCTCAGAGGGAGTCGGCTCAGACAAAGCAAAGTGGCTTTTCCGAGGGGGAGGGGTGCCCGCTTTCTCTTTGTTCTTCCTTGGAAAATAGGCTCTCTCTCAAGTCTCATAACCAGCTGCTTTCATCTCTCAGAGGAAGGCAAAGGAAGTTAATTCCCAATAAAAATTTGGACAGCATATTTTTTAGAGCCCTGAACTCTGACTGTAAAATGCAGGGGCAAACTCATTACAATTCTAACACACTATAAGTTTTATTCTGGGTTTCTAGGCAAAAATTTCAAAAAGGTGCCTCTCCTTATCAAATAAAAATATAATAAAAAGGTCATCTTCAGAAAGGGGTAATAGAGACAGTGCTTTGAGTCCTTCTTAACCTAATAATAGATGTCGTGCACTCTATTCTTAAGAATCTCTTCCTCAGAGGTATGATTTAATGAGCATATTCCTTTGTCTGCTAAGAAATAAGGGCTCTCTGAGAAGTCACACTTTTTTATACTACAAGTGATTTTTTTTTCTCATAAGAATGATTTAATATAGCTCCTTTAGAGATAAAAACATTTAGTATTGTCTGTCCCTGACTTACGTGTGGAATTAAGAGAAAGGATGTTTGTTCTTGTATCAGGAATAGGCCTGCCACACCCCAGGCACTCAGAGCATCTGCTCCCTGGACTGATTCTTAAACCAAAGCTACACATGGCTTCCGTGCTTGACAGCTGAGGTGGCCTTTTATATCCAGTTGGAATTTCTGTTTGGGCCTGCTTGAATGGGTTTGCCCACGCAACAGAAAATGGACTCTGTTGGTCAGAGAAAGCCTAATAGGCTGAGGACTAGGCTAATATTTTGGAAATGTTGTAGGTTCATTTCCTGGGAATTTACCCCCCAAAATAAAGTACCTTCGGTCCCTTCAAGTGGCATCTTCAGGCTCTTTAAGACAATTCCATTTTGGGGGGATTTTAAGTGCTCACTAAATATCAGGTATTTTGTCCAGAGTACCAGAATATCTGCACATTTGTATTCAATCCTTGGGCCCTGTGGAAAGCAGCTCTCTACCAGCTCCAGGGGAACCTCATTCTTTCCAGCAGGTTAAAGAGGAAGTGAGAACAACCTCTAGCTAGGGAACCAGCCCAGTGTAAGGACGTGGTCTGATGGCTCAAGTTCTACAGGTAAGCTTCTAAAATGATTCTGAAGCTAGACAAGAAACGAATGAGCAGGTGTTAAAGGATTATATATACCTTTGTAATTAACAGAAAAATTGGATAAAATAGCACTGGGCATGTATAGTCATAATACTACCCTGTGTTTAGGTTATTACCTGTTACCCAGAGAGTATATTACAGAATGCCTTTCATCTGACAGGTTCAAAGTTCTTTCCAGTGTTAACCTCATACCTTAAGGCATTTCAATTTAACAACTAATAAGCACTTTGAAGGCAAGAGCCATGTCTTGCTTGCACTTCCTTTATGTTTTGCACAGTGTCCTGCAGGTATTAGACAGTAGGTGCTCAGGGAATTCTATCTTAAAATATATGTGTGTGTGTGTGTGTGTGTGTGTGTGTGTGTAGGCTGTGCTGTAATCCTGAGATTAGGCCTGCCTTTTTGGTCACATCTGAAGAAAATGGATAGTGATACTTTGAGGACAGAAAATGAAAATGGGGATATTGCAGCTTCTCTGATAATGACCATAGCAGCTGACTTTGCTATACCAGAAACTGTGTAAATGCTTCACACAAGTTATCTCATTTCAACCTCACCACAACCCTATAGGCTCAGTTTACTATTATTATATTGTTATTTTACATATGACAAGATATTATTCAAGTCACACAACTAATAGAGAGTCACATCAGGGACTTGATTCCAGAGAGAGATCCGTCTCCAAGGTACGTGCTTTGAGGTTCCTGCTCTAGAATATCTAATAGGGATACTTCTAGTTCCATTTACTACCTTCTTTGAGGGTTTGCCTCACAACATATCTGAAGTGGGAGGGAGAGAGGGAAGAAAGCAAGTAAACACAGTTCATAATGTACACATTTCAGTTTGCATGAGTTTGATGTTCTTTCCTATATGTTATCTCATTTAATCCCCACAGCACTGTCAAGTATGTTACTACTGTCTCTTATATATAAGGAATATATCTCTGGAGAATGGGCTGATTTTTTAAAAAGTAAATGCTAAACTTCTTAGCTGAGAGGCAACAAATCTGATAGCACTGTCCTTGCCCTAAGCATCTCACCTCAGCTGAGAGTGTTGGTACGAGTTCTTGTGTTTCTTTCCTTTCTTACTAACACTCCAATGAGCCATAAAGCTTATGCTTGTCTCTACTTGTCCCATAAATGCAGATACAATTAAATGCTGACTCACATGGAATAAGCCATTTCAAAAGCTGAGGCAAAGTAGAGAGAAAACAGTAAAAGGAAATGCTATGTGATGTAACAAAAAGAATGAATTAGATTTAAATATGTGGCTAAGAAAAGATCTCCACAAGGCATAGTAAATTAGAAAAAGAAAGAAAGGAGAGCAAGCTGCAGAATAAAAAGTACAACAATGGTACCATTTATGTTTTAGAAAGATATGAAACCGTATAATATGAATATACACACATCTATGCAAACACACATAGAAAACAATTGGTTACACCTCAAATTGATAATAGGTTTATCCAGAGAGACAACTGGGTCCAGGCTGAGGTGCATAGTATTGGCAGACTTCTTTGTTATCTTTTTATTAGATAATTTATTCAAATAATGTGTATGTAAGAGGAAAAAAAAAAGGACAGAAAAGAAACAAGTAATGCTGTTAGAAAATGAAAGATTAGCAACAAAAAGTAAATGATACAAATACACAAACTAAAATCCACTGCCTCATTCACATCCAGAAGAGACCGATAGATTCGAAGAGATTCCTCAAGCTGGCATTATCATTATCAATTGTATGGTTTTTTTAATGTAATGTTTCCTGACTCTACCAGAACTACATGGCTGCGAAGGACACTAGGCTTGGAGCCAGACGGCTGGGTACAAGGCCTGACTCTGCATTTCTCTGTAACCTTGGGCTAATTTCTCAGGGCCCTAGTTTCCTTATCTATCAAGATAATAGTAACATACTTCAGAGGGTGCTTTGAGGAGTAAATGAAATAATGCTCAGGAAAGAACAGCAAAATCCTGCAGACTGACATTTATAAATGTGTTTTTGCATCTTTTCTTCCCATTCTCTCTCCTCCACTTCAGATAATGATTATTTTATGTACCTTTAGATGTCTGAATGCCCCACAATGAGGCAGAGTTAAATTAACAAACCATTAGTCTTCAGATAACATTTGCTAATAATAGGCCTCCATTACTTGAAGCTATAGTTATGCACATGTGTAGTTTTTAAGCTTAAATAACCCATATTCATGTATTTATTTTAAGGAATATATATCTGTTTGACTCCATCTATGAAATATATTATTTTCTTATAAAACCTTACTTTTGATACAAAAACTACAATATCCAAACAGAGAGGCCACTTAAAGTATAAGCCAAAAATGCATTACACTTTTTTTTTTTGCATCTTAAAATGTGCTTATTTGTGGTCCTACTGAAATTTCAGGCTGTTCTGAAATTTGAGTAGCCAATTATAAACCTTATAATAAAAAGGATTGCAAAAATAATAAGAGAAATACTATCACCAATATAACTAAGCACAAAAGAGAAACAAACACATTAATAAATATCAGTTGCCTACAGACAGCAGCACCACGTCCACGCCGCATGATCTATTTTCAATTACAGCCTCACCTTTGAAACAGAGCCAGGTTCTCATCTGCTTTTGCTGGATGTGCCTGTGTTAAAAGGCGCAGGGACCTGAAGATTTCTAGTGAAGTAAGTAAGAATCCAGTTTAAGTTGTTTTGCAGTTTGAGTTCAGAAGGGATTCATATTTAAAGGAACCAGTTCGAAGCAGACAAAGCACGCCTCCCTCCCAAGCTCCTCCACACCATTAAACTGGGCTGTCATTTTAGAGGTGGGCGCTCATTGTTCACTTTCTTCTCCTCTAATTAGACTTGACAGATTGCTCTTTCTAGCTAGACTGGCTATTGCCAAGAACAGAGAGGAAGAGAGGAGGCCAACCTTGTCTTTATGCCCTTGGAATCAGCTCCCCACCCCCATTCCCAGTCTACAGACACAGAAAGGCATCCCCAGCCGCTCAAATCTCTTCTCCTCTAGCCTCCTTGCTTGGCCCCTGGCAGTCTCAGCACCACTGACTTTTCTTACTTTCAACACTGAGAGATTCAAAGCCTCATAGGCTGTGTGAGTGGAATAAGTGTACACTAATATTTAATTTATATCTTTCATATTAATACTTTTTTTTTTTTTCCCTCCTGCAGGCCTGGGGGGAAAACAGACCAGCTTACTAAAGGGAAAGACACAGCAGTTCTACGCAAGAGCAGCAAATACTCATTGCTTCATAAGACAGAGCTCTAGAAGGATTCAGGCCCTGGCACTGCGTCCTGCATCCATTCTTCTGAAGCAGATCCCTCGCCCCCTGCCTCCAGTTTCCGTATCTGTAAAATGGCATCAATAATTCTTGAACCTTTATCATATCATGTTACACTGGTATTATATAAGAATTAGATAATAAAATTTTAGGACTGGAAAGAATCTTAGAGATCATCTAGTCTAGTATCTTTGTTTGGAAGACTTGAAAAACACAGGCTGAAAGAAGGAGGCAACAGGCGTAGTGTTATGAAATTAGTTCACAGGCTTTAAACACATGGTGCTGAACAACAGCTTGCTAATCAGCTTTGTCACTAACAGGCCTTTTCCTAGTTTAGCCTATGCTTGATAATAAGCTTTATTGGCCAGGAAAGCAACTTTCTTTCTCCAAGGAAGGAATTCCCCTCACCCAAGCTCTGTGTATTCAGAAATGCTTCCCTTTACTAAGAACCAACCCAGTGGTCTTGTAATAGAACCTGAGTCACCCAATGCCACATGCCTCTCACAGTGGCCCAGGATGACACTCAATAGGCTGAGGTCTGGGGCCCTGCTCTCAAATAAGAGTGGGCCTGTCTTTGACCTCAGCCTGGCTGTGCCTACAGCCTTAAGAGCTGTGCGCAGTAGAGACTGTCAGGAACAAATTTGTTCTTCTTGGAACAAATCTAGTGTTTCTAGGTTGAAATGTAAATCCCTTCATTTATCATTCATTCCCTTACAACCTTTTAATAAAAGCCCATGTTTTGCTAATCCCCTGAAAGCTGATAAGACTCCTACAGTGAGTAGGACCCAGCCTCAAGGAGTTTTAGAAAGAACCAGAAGTGTAAATTGCTTAGGTGCAGTGGAGCACAATGGGAACCTGTAGGAAGGAGGAGATGGTCAGTTTGCCTTGGTGGGGGTTTAAGGAATCAGAAAAATGCCATAAAAGAGGTAATACTTGAGCTGAGCTTTGGAAAATGAAGGTTATTTTCCAGGTGGAAGTGAGGCGAGTGCACGGCATTCAGATAGAGAGTGAGTCTGGTGCTTGGTGGTGGTGGGGGGAGGGGGGTGGGATTTTTTTTGGTCTGCTTAGTATGAGGAAGCATCGCACTAAACTGGAAATTTAGGTAGAGATCAGTGAAAACATTATATGACAAATGAAGAAGTTTAGATTTTATTGTGGCAGCTCATAGGGACCTTTGAAGAGTTTCAAACAGGGTAATAACATGATCCAAACTGTAGTTTTGAAAGATGGCTCTGACAGCAGTGTAGAAGATAGAAAAGGAAGAGGTGGGAAGAAGCAAGACCCAAGGCAGAGAGACAATGCAAAAATTTAGGTGAAACAAGACAGCTAATTCCATCTCTTTAAAGAGCCAGGAGGGAGAATTCCCTGGTGGTCCAATGGTTAAGACTCCACAGTTCCACTGCAGGGGGCCCAGGTTCAATTTCTGGTGGAGAAACTAAGATCCTGCAAACCACAAGGTGTGGTCAAAAAATTAATTAATTTTTTAAAAAGTAATTAATTAATTTAAAAAAGATTTCAATGGGAAGGATCAAAGAAGGGGAACTGTTTTACTTTCCAAGAGGCTTCAACTACATGCAGTGTGTGGACCTTGTCTGGATCTTGATTCAAACAGGCCAGCTGCAAACAGAAAATCTGGAAGAAAAACATAGTATTAGATAATATTAAGGCATTCTTGTTAACTTGGTTAGGTGTGAAAATGCTACTGTGGTAATGTAATACAACAGCATACTGAAATGTTTATGAGTGACATGTCATGATGTCTGGATTTGCTCTAAAACACGGTAGAAATAATAGATGAAGTAGCTATGGCAGAAAGTTAATAATTATTCAGCTCATATGATGAATATGTAGGGTTTTATTACACTCCATGTATATCTGACAATCTTCAAAATAAAAAGCTAACATTTTGGTAAAGGATCATGAGATGATAAGGCTTCCCAGCTGGCCCAGTGGTAAAGAACCCACCTGCCAATGCAGGATATGTGGGTTCGATCTCTGGGTTGGGAAGATCCCCTGGAGAAGGAAATGGCAACCCACTCCAGTATTCTTGCCTGGAAAATCCCACGGACAGAGGAGATTGGCAGGCTACCGTCCATGGGGTCACAAAAGAGTTGGACACAATTTGGCAAATAAACAATGAGATGCTAAATTAAAGAAATTATAATGAGAATGGAGAGAAGAGAGCTATGAGAGATACTAAACAGGCAGAATGAACAGTATTCAGTGACTGATTATAAGTGGTTAGTGAAACGGAAGAAGTGAAGTGACTTCCAGTTTTTTGCTTGGGTGGGTGGGGAGATAGGAAAGAGTTGCCCAAGGCATACTTACATTTAAGAAGTGGGGGTAGGAAGAATTTGCAAAAGAGATTGAGAAGAATGGCCAGAGGCATATGAAGAGAAACAGGAAAAAATAATTTCTGGAGAATCTGTGAAGAAACAATGGGTCAATAGAATCAAATGTCCCAAGTTAAAACATGAAACCCATTGGATTTAGCATCTTAATTGCCAAAAACATTCAGTAGAGTATAATTCGAAGAGGGAAGAATAAATGAAGCCTGGAAGATGAGGGGGAGGGTTGGATGGTCCTCAAAGGAAGAGGGAGGTGGCTAGAAATGGTTTTTAAGTGGATTAGTTCTAGTCCAGTGGGATGATCAATTACCTCTGCTCAAGGGGGTCAGTAGAAGTGAACTCTTGAGAGAACAAAACAAAACAAAACAAAAAACCAAATTTTAGTTAAGGCAAGGAAGAGAAGGGTATATTCTGTAGAGATTAAGAATGTAGGGTTGGTCCAATAAAGCAAAGATTTTAGACGGCATTAGGAAGAGCATTTACAAGAAGATCAGCAAGTGTCTGAGAGTCACGGGGGCAGAAGGGGACTCTTGACCTCTAGCTGGCATACTTTAGCAACCTCTTCAACAGTTGTCCATATATAATTCTTTCTGCTCTCTGACATCTTGGAGGTATTGAATCTGGAAAATGTTTATAAAGTATAGCTTTGGTCAGGTCAAACCCTTGCCCTAAAATTTTCATTAGCTCCCAATACCTACTGAATTAGGTATACTACAGATATTGAAAACCCTTCCATAATCTGATTCCAACCTGTTTTTATCAGGCTGATCTTTTGGTGTTTGTTTGCTTGTTTTTGTTATGTTTTGTTTTTCTTCTCATGCACCTTCCTTCTAGGATGCTAGGTTATTTGATATTCTCTGAATATATTAATTATATGAAATATTATAGGAAAAGGGCTGAGAAGTGTCTAGCATATAGTAGCATTCCACAGATGTTAGTTTTGGGATACTGAACTATTTATAATTCCCTTCTAACCATTTCATTCAGTTTTCTTTAACCTAAAGTCTCTTTCCACCTTCTTCATGTCATATAGCAAGATTCAGCTCAGGTGTCATTTATTCTAGGAAGACTTTCCTGCGTTCTCAGGATGTGGGTGCCCTTGTCTGGGCTTCTGCAGCAAGCCCACCTCTCCTGACACTCAGCCTATTAGATCTGTTTATATGTCTGTTTCCTCATTAGAATATAAATTTCCTGGCGACCAAGGCTGAATTTTTTTTTAACATATTATAGCATCAGTACACAGTACAGTACAAGGCATTATATATGCTTTTTAAAAACTGATGTACTGAACACAGGGCTTCCCTTGTAACTCAATTAGTAAAGAATCTGTCTGCAATGCAGGAGACCCAGGTTTGATTCCTGGGTTGGGAAGATCACTGGAGAAGGAAATGGCAACCCACTTCAGTATTCTTGCTTGGAGAATCCCATGGACAGAGGAACCTGGCAGGCTACAGTCCATAGGGCCACAAGAGTCAGACATGACTGAGTGACTAAACTACCCCCATGTTGAACAAAACTTCACTTCCTCTCTTCTTTAAGTACATTTATGTGATGCGTGATGTGGTTTCTCCTATGATATCTTCGCTCTACTCCTGAATGGAAGTGGACATTATTTTTGTCACCACAGTGTCCCTTCCTGTTCTTTTGGCAACAGGCTTGATTTTCTTCCTGAATTCTCTGTTCTCGAGGTTTGTGATCTGGATGGGGCTTCCCCAACACCCTGTCCCAGGGTGGAGGAAAAGACACAGGCCTAAATCAGCCAGTTATTGTCCTGTTTCTGGTGGCCTAACTGGTTTAGGGGAGCCCTGTGCTCTAAGCCTTTCCAATCATAGTAAATCTCAGGACTTTCTTCAGTTACTAGGAGAGGAATTCTTTTCTTTCTCTCCCTCTTTCTTCTGCACATGGTCAGTAGGGCACAGGGCTACAGTCATTTTCATACCACAAGAGATAAATCTGTTTGAAAATAAAGGCACTAGTTGGAGAGAAGACAACCAAGAGAAAAAGAGAAACAAAATCTTGGTGATGGAAACAGAATTGAATTCAGCTATGTTTGGAAAGAAAACTATTGCTTGTCAGTTTGTGTTGGGTTTTCTGTCATTTGCAACGAAACCACCTTCACTAATATAATACTTATGGGTAACAAATATACTACTTGACACATGAGACTATTCAACAAATGTGTGTTTCATAGATAAATAAGTTGTGAGGAGCAGCAATTACTTACTTCTACAGTGCGATTTGATCATCCTTCTGGAGATGGATAACGGTGATGTATTCACAGCCACGTGAATACACTTAACGCCACTGAACTGTGCACAGAAAGATGGTTAAAATAGTTACCTTTATGCTGTATGTTTTACTCCACTAAAAAAAAAATGAACAAGAGAAAGGAAAAGATTATCATTAGACTGGAAATAACAGTTTGCAGCCCAGTTATCACATGAAAACATAGGGAGAGGAAAGCTTGCCGCATTGTACCCATAATACAGGTAATCATTCTCTGCTTTTAGAAATGCATCCTAGGGAAATAACTAGGTAAGTATACAAAGCATGTCTATCTGAACATTATTTGCAGTATCAATAGGGACTAGCTAATAAAATTATATTCAGAAAATAGAATATTATATAGTCATTAAAATAAGGTAGACTTATGTGTCACTTCTTATGAATATATATGTCAGAGTGCTATTGGAATTATATTAATGTCGAATAGTTTCACAAAAATAATGTAAGACTTTTATGAGATTTAAGGGCTTCCCTGATAGCTCAGTTGGTAAAGAATCTGCCTGCAATGCAGGAGACCCCAGTTCAGTTCCTGGGTCAGAAGATCCGCTGGAGAAGGGATAAGCTACCCGCTCCAGTATTCTTGGGCTTCCCTTGTGGCTCAGCTGGTAAAGAATCTACCTACAATGAGGGAGACCTGGATTTGATCCCTGGGTTGGGAAGATCCCCTGGAGAAGGGAAAGGCTACCCACTCCAGTATTCTGGCCTGGAGAATTCTATGGACTGAGCAACTTTCACTTTCACTGTTGTGAAATTTATGAATTAGAACTAAATTTGGTTGGAAGGAAGAACCTCATTCAGTGGATGGTAGGAGGTAAAAAAGCTCACTCAAAAAGAACTTACCAAAAAAAAAAAACTTACCATATTTCACTGAACTTCAGATACCACTGGTTGTGAGGTGCTTCCTGATTTCAGAGATATTAAAATGTGAAAAACTATACAGCATAAAATTGTGCATAAAGATAAGTGGGATGAAGGGAAATAAGACATGAAAATCATTAGATAAAGTAAACTCAAAAGCCAAAATGTTATAAGATTTATGGAATAAAATGATTTCATACCTAGTAAAAGGAAGCTTTGAGGAGAGGGCATGGCAACCCACTCCAGTATTCTTGCCTGGGGAATTCTATGGACAGAGGAGACTTGCGGGCTACCGTCCATGGGGTCACAAAGAGTCAGACATGACTGAAGTGACTTAGCACACACGCTCATAAGATGGCCACAAAACCATGCGCTGAAGACTGATTTTGTAACTAAACTAAAATAGGAAGCAAGCAACTCTCCCTGCTGTTTTGAACACTGCATATTAGGTAACAGTGAGTGTTAATTCATTTACATTTGTGAGGTTTCTTTCTCTATTTTTTCTTAAGTGGAGGCCAGGCTTATAATTTTAGCTTCGCCTTCTCCCGCTTTAGGAAGGAGTTTGGCAGCTCAAGAGAGATAAAAAGGAATGGGAGTGACGAACTGCTAATACTCAAGGAGAAGGTCAAATGTCTACATTTTTCTTGTAAACAGAAAGTACGGAACTCAAGACTTCCCCTAAAAGTATTTGGTATCTCTTCCCATCTTGTTTAAAGTAGCCTCACAAGATAGGAATTTGACCAGCTGTCTAGGGGGAAACGGGCTTTTAAAACATCAAGCATTCTCTCTCCATTTGCCCCTCTCCCTCTGTCTCTCTTTCACACACACACAGTCACAGATTTCAGTGCTTAGGAATACACCATACGTATGCTATTTACTCACATAGCTTGTTCCTTATTTTCAGTTATTTCTGTCCTCGGTAGACAGGGAAGTATTTGGGAAGGCAAATTGCTCTTGGTTATTTCTATGACTCACAATGAGGCCAAGTCAGGCACCCAGGACCACTGCCACCAGCAACTGCTGTATCCAGAGCATCATGACAAGGACCTCACATTTGATGTAATTACTGACCACAGACAGCGGGACTTCACCAAAAGCCACAGGGATGGGTCTAGGCAAAATGCACTGGTAAATAAATTTACCTCATAGGATGTCAGATCTAGAAGGAAACCTAAAGAACACGTAAGCCCTGAAATTCCTAACGCCTGTCAAGCAACAAACTCACCTTAGAAGCTTTTGAAATATCTTGGGGTGAGATCCCAGGATTGCTTTTTTTTCCAAAAAGCTTCACATGCAATTCTACTGTATGTTAAAGGTTCAGAATGGCTGTTCTAATCCCATTCCTCTTATCTTACAGATGGTGACCTGGGGCCCAGAGAGGTGCTGTCTTGCTCGCGATCACACACCTGGTTAAGAGCAGAAACAAGACAAGAACTCAAACCTCCTGATTCCTGGCCTAGAGTCTTTATCCTTACACTGCTGTCCTGCCCCACTGACTGTTTTCTGAATATTTACTATTATTACTTCCTAATACAATTGAAAATGTATAACCATTGGTTATTTAATGACAAATCATGAAGTTGCAAGATCTAGCATTTATAAAAGAAGTCAGTCACAAAAAAATCACATATTCTCTGAATCCTTTTATATGAAATGTCCAAAGTAAACAACCCCACACTGATAGGAATAAACTAATAAATTACTAGGAGCTGGCAGAAAAGGTAGAAATGGGCTTCTCTGGGGAGGTGATGAAAAGTGTTCTAAAATTAATTGTGGCAATGTTTGTGTAACTCTGTGAATATATTAAAAAACCACTGAATTGTACACTTTCAAAATATGAATTGTATGGTATATGAATTATATCCCAATAAGACTGTTTTTAAAAAAAATCTAGCACTAACTTCTCACTGGATTCTGAAAGATAATTTAAATATTTTACTTAGTTTATTTTTCAACATATCTCTAAAACAATACATAGTTTCCAAATGGATCTTATCCTTTAGTTTAGTTTATCCCTCTTGAGGTCTATTTCCCAGCACCCATACCCTCAAAGAGATTAATCTTCTCAGAGCTTAGTCTGGCATTTAGGATCCTTGTTCTTCTTGCCACCAGACATGGTGCCTTTGTCAAGACTGTTCCCTCCACTGAGAAGGCCAAATTGTGTGTTCAAGCCCTGGCTCATACATCATCTCTTCAAGGGCCCTTTGTATTCCCCACACTGGAGGCTGTCTGTCTTCCAGGGTGTAAGAGGTGACTTTTTAAAAGAAATTTATTTATTTACTTATTTTTGGCTGTCCTGGGTCTTTGTGCTACATGCAGACTTTCTCTCTAGTTTCGGGGAGCAGGGGCTACTCTCTAGTTTCGGTGCATGGGCATCTCATTGCAGTGGCTTCTCTTGTTGTGGAGCATGTGCTATGGGTCACACGGGCTTTAGTAGTTGTGGCACACGGGCTTAGTTGCCCCATGGCATGTGGGATAGTCCCAGACCAGAGAATGAACCTGTGTCCCTTGCATTAGCAGGTGGACTCTTAACCACTGGACCACCACGGAAGTCTTAAGAAGTGACATCTTGATCAAATGTTTAGATACCACATAACAAGGTCATCAGCCTTCCAGCCTGAAATCTGAGCCTTCACCACCCACTAGTGATACCCGTCACTAAGTTAACACCACCTTTCATTTTTTTTATTGCATCACCTCAGGTCTAGCACTAAATTCTGTGTCTTAACTTTTTTTCTTTCTTCTGCCCATTATGCTATCCCCCCTCTCCCCCTCCATCTTGTTCCCACCTTCTCAATCCTATCCCCATTCTTACCTCCTCCCTTCACACCTAGCTAATTCTTACTAAATATTCAGAACTCTGGAAAAATGTCACCTCTTCCAGAACGGCTTCTCTGATGGCTCCCTTTTCCCTTAGGATGGTAGCCAAACTAAAGTAATGGCAAGGAAGTAGAGAGAAACGGACAGCTTTGAAAAGTATTGTAGAGATCAAATTGGTAGAACTTGCTCATGTGAAATAAGGATAAAAATAAATCATAAAGATTATACAGAATAAACTGTGAATTTGAGAATAAGAATTGGTAACAATTTAGAGTAATTTCATACATGTTTTTCTAAGCTTTATGTCAATCTTTAATTGGTGGATTTTAATAAGAGGGATCTTCTATATCCTGCCAAGCACATCTTCCTTAAACATTCCTTTTCTAATGGGATAGACCAACATTGCTTTATGGATCCAGGGCCTTTAATGACTCCCTTCCTGCTGCTGCACAAGCCTAAACTCCACTCTGCTTTAAAGGACTTCATAGCCAGTCCACCCCTCCCTTCAGCCCCACAGAGCTGTGGGCAGGCTGAGTGCTTCCTCCTCCTGCACGGGTCTTGCTCACTACTCTTGCTTCCAGCTCTTTTGCCTCCTTCTTGCCTGGGGTGGTCTTTTCTCTGTGCACGTTTCAGAGACAATTCAAGGATCAGCTCCAAGAAACCTTGCCTGCCTGATCCATGGCTCCCTGTGCCTCCTGAACTTCTGAAGTGTTCACAGTTGATAGCATCTAATTTAGCACTTGATTATATATGTGCATCTAACATAATTTACAGTCATTTTAATGTGTGTTAGACAGGTTTCACCCAACTAGACTATAAATTTACTGAAGGTGGGAATCATGATGTACAGTTCCTTAAGATCATAAATTCTGGAATCAAACTATGCTCAAATCCTGGCTGTCTCACTTGCCAGCTGCATGATGTTGGGCAAATGACTACCTTCTCTGTGCCTTAGATCCTAATGTTTAAGATGGACATGGTAACGGGACCTATCTCATAGGAGTGACTATAAGGGTAAATGAGGCAGCTCATGTGCTAATGTTCAGCTGATGCTTGGCACGCTGTAAGAACTCAGTAAACATCAACTATTACTATTAACCTCCATACTACTAGGTGTAGCACTGAACACTGAGTCACTGCGTCACTGCGTGCGTGCTCAGTCGTGTCCAACTCTTTGCAACCCCATGGATGGTAGCCTGCCAGGCCCCTCTGTCCAAGGGGTTTCCTAGGCAAGAATACTGGAGTGGGCTGCATTTCCTTCTCCAGGGGATCATCATTGGCAGGCAGATTCTTTATTTTTTTTATTTTTATTTTTTTAGGCAGATTCTTTACCATTGAGCCACCTGGGAAGCCACTGAGTAGATGCCTAAAAATTAATTTTTATTGACTTAGTTGGTCACATGTAAATTTCTTTTTTTAATTGTCTTTTATTTTTTTGGCCATGTGACATGTGAAATCTCAGTTCCCTGGTCAGGGATCAAAGTTGGATCCCCTGTAGTGGAAGCACGGTGTCTTAACCACCGGACCACCAGCAAAGTCCCATACATTTCTTTTAGATACCTAAAAGAATGAGAAATTCTTGTGTTGAGGCAAAAGGGTGTATTTATACAGACATTAATCATTTTAAAACATTTATGTGGACAATTTTACTTCCCCAGTTTTGAAGAATATCTCATCATTTCCCCATATATGCCTTCACCTAGGTCCTGGAGACCAGGTGAGGAAAGCAAGAGGATTATTACCTCCCTTCCTCTATAAGGAAATACGGAATAAGCATTGGATTACAAGATAAAATTCAGATGCCTGGAGGATTCTGGGTGCTAGGTACCAGCCATCTGTTAAGAATCCAAACTAAATAGTCCCCACTTGTGTCATTCTTGTTTTTGACAGTGTGTACCTCAAAGAAATAAACATAAATTACTATATTGGCCTGTTGGTAGTTGAGGCGACAGTATGTCTAGTAGACTACAAGATGATAATAAAGGTGAGAAGAAGGTAATTAAAGACCTAAGGCTGAGCTCTAGACAAACACTATTATTATGTTTTATATAATAAAACATGCATGCCCCTCCCCCAGTATACTACAAATTAAATGGTTTCAATCGGTTTATCTGGAAGAGCCAATACCTTAAGTCCTTTGTAATCCCTGGACTGCATCCTGGTAAAATCCTTGGGACTCAGGT